AAAATGGCGGTCATTTAAAATATTTGATGCCAAATTTCACGAAAACCGTTAACTTTACAAAAAAATTGCAAGGGACAAAAAAGTTTGTTAGTTTTATTTAGTTTTCAATGATACCTTATTTGTTATGATTGGATAAATAACAACAGAGAAACGTGTTGTTTTCGTAATGCATGACCACTTTTCTCCGTTTAAACAATGCTAAACAGCGTTGAAGTGAGGATAAATTAGCCCATAGTATGCCGTCAACAATATCTCCAGATTCTCATTGTTCCTGTGGTTACGCAGAACGAAAATACTAGAACTGAGTTTTTTTTATGTATTTGATATGGTCATGAAATCTAAGATTCTCGTCTAAGATCAATCCAAGGAACTTGACATTTGGTGTAGGGTGGACCTCAGTTTCGCCCAGAAGGAGACTAAACCCACTGTTTGATCGGTTTGAATGATTTTATAAACGGAAGTTAATGAGCTGTGTTTTGTCTGTGTTGATTTTCAATAAACTGGGGGAGTGACTTAATGTTTTTAACAAAAACTGAAGTACAAAATAATTTGTTAATAACTTTCTGTTATTAAATTTTGTTAATAACTGCCGGTTAATAACAAAAGTTAATTAACTTTATGTTATTAACTCCAGTGTAAACGCGGCTTAAAGAAAGTTAACTAGGCTAATAAAGTGTGTTTTAAGTAGGATATTAATGGCTTAGTATAAAATAAATAAATTTACCATGTTTGATCAAAATATATCCATAAACAGGCAAAGTACAACAGTTTACAATATCCTTCATAATAATAACATTGAAATTTTAAATTTACATTTTTTTGAATTTTCTCTGTAACCATTAAGCGTACAGATAACATACTAAATTATTTGTGTTTTTAAGCTCTTCAAAGTGGTCTAGAGAGAAATTAAGATTTTTTTGTTTTGAGGGCAAAAATTGAGAAAAACAATTTTTACCCCATAAACCCTCCCCATAAATCCCCGTTCCCATGGCCCGATCATTCTGGTTCGTGAAATCATTCAAGTTTGAATGAATGAATGAATAAAGTGCTTAATTTTAAAATAAACATTCCTCTCATAAACATGATCAAACACTTAATAAGCAATGGTCTACGACCGTCTGTTTGGTTGGCACACCTGGAAAACACATTTACCGTATGAAAATGAAGTTGAAACAAAATACACTTAATAACATACACAAATTTACATACAATTTTACATCCATTTTCAACAAAACTAAAAAAATACCTTTTTCATAATATTGTTTACATAACTTTTATTATTTTATTTTTAAAATTATTAGAATTTAAAAAGGTTTTCACATTATGAAATCTATAAAGATCACTATGAATATTCAAGAAGACAGGCAATTATCTTCACTAATCCCTCAAAAACATCTGCTGACTCGAAATTAATATCCAAACCGTGTTTTCGCCCTAGACATTTCCACTCTTTGGCCCAAAAAATACCTTTTCCAATTACAGATTTAGCAATAATTTTTGGTAGGCGTGATTCTGGCATATTAAAAACCTTAAAAATGTATGCTGCGTTAATTTGTAGATTAAAGAAATATAACTTTTCAAAACATGTTTCTAAGTAAACAATATAATTGGGAGTGTTATGTGGCAATCTAAACATCCTTTTAATAAACGTTTTCTGAGCATTTTCTAACTGAGAAATTTCTGAAAACCCCCAAACTTGTGCGCCGTAACACAAAATAGCTCTGAGAATAGATTCGAAGCACAATATCTTAATCTGCAGCGGGACTTTGTTGTTGTCTACTAGCCTTTGCCATACTAAATTAATTGCATAATTAGTTAGCCTCCTCTTCTCTATGAAATGTTTTTCCCATGACAATGTCGTTGTAAATAACATTCCCAAATATTTATAACTATCTACCACTTCAACCTGTATATACCACCATCTATCATGTCCCGATAATCTACCACCTTTCCTGAAAACCATTAATTTGAATTAAGATAGATTTACTGTAAGGTTCCAAATTGCACTGTAACACTCCAAGTTTTTAATCATCATTTGTAATGCTGTTGCTGTGGGGGCCAACAATACGATGTCGTCTGCATACATCAAAACATTTACTCTCTTTCCACCGAAATTACAGCCACCTTCCAGCACCTCTGGCAAATCATTTATGAATAAGCTGAACAGGAGAGGACTTCCTATACATCCTTGTCTTAAACCTGTCTTTGTCTCAAACTCATCTGAAATGCCGCCCTTACACCAAACCGCTGCAGATGTGTTACAATAATAACTCCTCAAAACATCTAAAACGTGCGTTGATACGCCGATTGATGAAAGTTTTAATAAAAGTGATCTTCTATCAATAGTGTCGAACGCACTTGAAAAATCCACAAAAAATGCATACAACTTGCCACCTTTCTCCGCTAAACGTAGTTTGATCATCGATGCCAAATTAAAAATATTATCTGTAGTGGAATAGTTTTGTTTGAAAACCCGCCTGGAACTCCGATAACATGTGGTTTTCATTGACCCAATTTTGAAGTCTATTATTTAGCATTCCTATAAATATTTTTTAGACTTATAATAGTCGTATGAAGCTTAAACTACTCTAAAGAAAGTTAACTAGGCTAATAAAGTGTGTTTTAAGTAGAATATTAATAGCTTAGTATAAAATAAATAAATTTACCACATTTGATCAAAATATATCCACAAACAGGCAAACTACAACAGTTTACAATACTCTCCACTATAATGACATTGAAATTTTAAATTTACAATTTTTTGAATTTCTTCGTAACCATTAGGCGTACAGAAAAACTATAACATACTAAATTATTTGTTTTTTTAAGCTCTTCAAATGGGTCTAGAGAGAAATTGGGAAATTTTGTGTTTTGAAAGTCAAAAATGAGAAAACAAAATTTTTACCCCATAAACCCCTCCCCATAAATCCCCATGCTGGTTCGTGAAATCATTCAAGTTTATCCCGCCCTACACCATCAAGTCAAATTAATTTAAAATCGGGCAAAAATTACTCGAGGTTTCGTGGTGTGAGACCTACGGTAATAATTACCTTCCTATAGGGAAATTCGCTAAAATGCTTCCATATAGGAAAATTTGACAAAATACATCCCTATAAGGAAATAAGCTAAAAAAAATCTTTTCTTCATCAAAAGTGTTTAGCTAAAATGCTGATGATTTTGGTCAATTTATATTTCATTTAGCCAGTTTCACAATAAGTTAAACGAAACGTGTAATATCATTACCTTAAACTCGTTTTGACCAGCAACACTAATCAAGACTAATCAGTGAACCACTTGTCGAATTACTCAGAAGTGCTACGTTAATTTGTAACGAAAATATCGCAACACGCATTTAAGGTCATTTATCCTATCCACATTTGTTAAATATACATATATAACACCATACTACCATAGGTTATGGTAGTATATTTTTACTTATATTTAATTATTTTTCAAACTAAAAATTGTGTTCGTATTTAAAATATTAACAAATAGATATCAACTTATATTCCATAAATGTCATCAGACACTATATCTTGGAATAAATGAAAAAGCGGAACGGTTTATGATAAAAAAATAATCCAAACTTTCATTGCTAAATTAACATGGATTCCACTGGATATGAAATTTTCTAGTTTTAAGTCTTGTCTTGTCAAGCCTATTATACAGGGTGTCCCGTAACTCTCTGGACACTTGTATATAGCGTTATTCCTTAGGTCAAGACAAACACATTTCACCATAGGAACATGGGTCTGTGGTGTCTAGTTAACCGACTGTCGGTATTGCGGTATAATTGCTACCGATGATGACGGAGGGTGAGGACAATTGGACCTGTGTGTCACATTACATCCAGGGTATTCTCCGCGCCAAGAAGCTCGACCTTGACCGGGATGCGGTGTAGGTCTTAAAGTATCCAAATGCCATAAACGGTGAGAGCCCTGAGGGCTTAGGTAACATGTTGGCCTGACTTGAAGTAATGTGACAAACAATTCCAGGTCTGTGTCCAACAGAGTAGAGGGGGTTTTTTAGTGAGTAGTCTGCGATAGATTCAGGAGTCTCACACTACAGGCTGGCTACCTGTGTGCGTAAAAGCATTTTCCCTCCTCTCCCTTAAAAAAAAAAAAAAAAAAAAAAAAAAAAATTATCCTCACTTAGCGTACGCCGTTCCTATTTGGAGTTGCGAGTGCCAGCCATATGGTGCCAGCAGACTAAAATGTTGTTTAAACTCCAAAAAATGGCTGTGAGAACTGTTTTTTTTTTCTCTAAAAAGGCGTAAACCATGCCGTAATTATTTTTTCAATTTAAAAATTTTGACATTCCCATCTATTTACATTATTGAAGCTTTAACATTTGAGAGAAAAAAATTTTCTAAATTTGACTTTTCTGTAAAAAAGCAATACACATTGCGCAATTCACATACATTACCAATTCCTAAACATTCAACAACATTTTTCAAGAAGCACTTACTGTGCAATGGCATAACACTTTTTAATTCACTTCCACTTCCTCTTAAACTTGAACCAAACCTGTTAAAATTCAAAAAACAATTAAAATCTTTGTTGATAAAGTTTACCTGTTACAGCGTCCAAGAATTTATAAATAAAATCAGCCCGGGATGAATAGTGATCTAGCCTAGATGTATAAAAAACTGTATAACTTTAAGTAGTGTATAAGACCTACTCTGTAAATAGTTCTTAAGTATATATATAAGCTAACTTTTATTTAATGATGACTTAGCCAATACAAATTGTACAATATTTTGTTAATTTTGGCTTATAAATGATTTGATTTGATTTGATTACACGTGTTTCGTCTGCTGCAGTTGGTACTGAGGGCCGACTAGCGCGCTCTCTGTAGCACGATGCTGGGCGCGGGGGTTGCGGGGAAAAGAGAGGGACTTGTTATTAACAAAAGTTAACGCGCTAAAAGAGACCTTTAACTTTTCTTATTAACATTTGTTAAAAACATAACACGTTTTCTTTGATCTTTACCGACTCTTGATGGATAACATAAATCTTGTTAACAACAAGGAATTTTCTGTTAAAAACACGAGTAAAGACCTCGGAGTCTATTGGAATTCTTCCCTTACGCCTGAGCACCACGTAGATGAAATCTGCAGGAGAGCTTGTGGAATCCTCGGTCTGATCTTCAGAGTGTCAAGAAATGGATTTTCAATAACAACTCTAACTACCCTTTACAAGACACTCCTACGCCCGATTTTGGAATATGCTTCGGTGGTTTGGAAACCTTACCATGACATCTACGTTTCTCGGTTACAGCGAATTCAGAGAAGATTTGCAAGAATGATGGGAGTTAGATGTGGCTACAACTATAGAGACGTCCCAGTTGAAGAACTTGAGTCCCTGCTGAACCTCCATACTCTGGCCAAGAGAAGAGATGTTGCGGACCTGGCTTTCTTGTTAAAACTGATCAATGGTAAAATTGACTCTCCTCAGCTGTTGGAAAAGCTGTTATTTCGAGTTCCAGGCAGTACCAGGTCTACAGATGTTTTCTTCAGGGCGCAGTACAGAACAAACTACCTGGGTAATAGTCCGATGATCCGACTCCAACGGCTAGGAAACGAATTCTCAACTCATGTTGACCTCTACAGCGACAGTCTAGCCTCCCTTAAACATAAAATCCTACACGTTTAATTAATTCACACCACATTACACTTCACATCCAAATACAGATTTACACCAGACTTCACACTACTTATACTACAGAACTACACCACTTACATTAGAATACAACAGATCAAACTCAGACATCCTACCATATCACATTTCATTATCATTGTTATTGTTATTATTATTCTTATGCCTTGTTTTTGTTATGTCATAGTTTATTATTGTTGATCGATTGTATTGTTGCTATTACTGATGAAATGTTGTTTTGTTATAATTTAATATTTTGTATTCATATAATCTATTATAATCTTAACTGATTGTATTTTGTAAATGGCATTGCCGTGGAAAATAAAAATGAAAATTAAAATGAAAACGAGTTATTAACTTTTGTTAAGAGAAATTTTTGGGCGATTCTGTTATGTTAATAACTTTTTGTTAAAAACACATGTTATTAACTCCGGTGTAAACGCGGCTTAGGCTTCATACGACTATTATAAGTCTAAAAAATTAGAAGTGATAGCCTTTTCCGTAAAACCTTGCAAGTTATATTTATCTCGCCGCCATTTTCCAAGATGGCGGATTTTGCTGAGGTGGGATTTTTCAGGAAGTTTCAGGAAGTGTTTATGGGTGATTCCCAAACAAATTCCAGAAGAGATTGCCTTTGAACTAATTTGTTCTAGGTGTGGGTCTGTTTTTGCATAGCTGTCGCTGTCCTGTACTAAATATGTATTTTAAAAGAAATGATTTAGAGCTGAATGAGCTCTTTGAATGTGTTCTTCTGAGTCATTTATAAGAGTTGCCAGTAGAGTATAGTTTTCACGATAGATTCCAGCATATCTCACCCAACAGCTTGTATTCGGTACGTCAAGGTTATGTAGGATCCGTTTTCAAATTAGCTTCGCTTTTCTTACGTTCGAATACACAAGAAAAATAACGTCTTTTATTACTTAAGACACATCTAAAACGTGAACATTTAGATTCCAGTGGTAAGTTATACATTTGTAAAATATGTTACAATGGGGACCGATTTTGACTGCTCACATCGGTATTCATCAGGTCCATTTGGAGACCGGGCCATCATTATTATATTCGTATAATAATGCAAACACGCAAAATACTTATCAAAAAGTGATTTTTTATGTGTTTAGCTATCGTATTACTTTGAAAATCTTTGAGAGTAAGGTTCAATTTATAGAATCCTACAATTTATTCTTGAGATAATTTCTCTAATTAAATCCACTACACAGTGTTGATTTGAAAAAATCATCATACGTATAATATATTTTTTCAGAAAATCCCTTTAAATACCTTTTGAGATAACAACTAAGTAATAGGTTATACAACTAATCCGTTTACCTTAATTTGAATAGGTGGGTTATTTTAACCTAAAAATACAAATGTTGTATACGGAGGATTTCTAACGTGTAGGTGTTAACTTTTTTATGTGTATATTGGTTTCGTAAGAACCCTATTTAAGCACTGTGAGAAATCACCAAACTAAAATCTAAAAAAAAAATCCTTAAAATGTTCAACCCCTTTCTCTCAATTTGGATAAATACATTATTTATATAAAAAATGATTAATCAATTTTGAACTAGCCTACAGAGCATTTTTACCGGTTACATTATCCATTAAACAAATACGTCCGTATTTTATTATTCAAACAGAAATGGATTAAATAGATTTCCTAAAACATACTACAGTATTATATACGAGAGGGTGTTGGCTCCAGCGCATTGTCAGACTAAGGGAGTGATTGTGTTCTACCCACTACCCACTACCCACTACCCACTACCCACTACCCCCTACCCACTACCCACTACCCACTATCCACAGACCACCCACTGACAACCTCCCCTAGATTCGGACATGTTAGCAGAAAGCTACGATACCGTGCACTGTCAACTACACGTTTTACTTTACGTTTATAAAAATTAACAAGTCCTTTGACCTTTTCTTTTGGCAGTCTCATACATTGATAGTAGATATTTTTGGTAAATATATACATCGATTGAGGTATTTTCAAAGGGACTGAGGGTGAACTTATTTCAAATTTTATATCGTCTTCGACTACTATGTATCAAGGCTGTATATAAAGGTTAGTAAAACATCTTTTATTTCTTTTAGGTTAAAATATTACAGATAACCTTTTATTTTGATATTCTCATGCATTGAAAGTAAATATTTTACGTTAAGTTAGACTACGTAACTTTGAAGATTGGGGACTTCTTCGAGGGCGCTGAGGGTGCGCTTATTTATGTTTTTTTATCCTCGACTACCTACTATGAATCACGTCTATTGGCTATATAGAAGTTATTCAAATATTGTGTATGTCTTCTAGGTAAAAATATTTAAAATGTAAATGTATACCAATCATGAGCTACTAGTGTGTATTGGATGTAAACAAGGAATAAATGTGATAAGCAGACGCTTTGAACTTCAGTAAAACGATCTTCTTGTTATCACCAGTGCCAGCATGCCGGGTTTTTACTTTAAGATTGTTGACAGTTCAATTATCACACTCTTATTATGTTCTCTATAAGCTACAGCTTGCGGTAGAACAGCTACGTAATGATTCTTTTGTAGCCTGTATGTTTTTATGTCCTTCGAAATTAGATGATGCAGTAAATATCGCATTTTAATACGATTGCAATACAGTATATATAAGTAACTTTCATTAGGGAGTTTATTGGAATTATACTTATATTTTTATTAAAGTTTTTATTTTCTTCTCTGTGGAATTATACAGGGTGTTTTTGTGTAACGCAACCCAAATAATTACAACAACCGTGAGACACTTTTGGACCCAAAACCATCTCATATGTTCCGTTTTTATCCATTCCCGATCGGCTAATATGCAATGTTGCATAGATATCTATGAGCTTTAGTTTTATTGAAAATGTATTGTAAATAAGACTCAACATGGTGTTTTCCCAAACTCAATAGTAGGGCCTATGTAGGTTTGATTGATTTTCTACAGAGGTGGTTTCCTTCAATTTTAGACAATCTTTGAATATTTGATTATTTAGGTATTGGAATCACACCTGGAACCTCAATTTCAAAACTGTCTTGCCATAAAATCAATGATTTACTTTAATATACAATACATACTATCTAAGCTTGCGAAAACACCATTTTGAGGTTTAATCAATTCTGATTTATCTGGCCTATTCAGATTTCCAATAACTAGAGCTCAATTAACTATGGAACAATGCGTATAAGCTGATTTGCAATTAAATAAAGAAAACAGGGAAGCCAAAAAATGAGCTTGTTTTGTCGTTATTTTTGGTTCCTGCTAGATCCATTATTTAAATATACTGTAATTTTAAAAGCTACTAAGGTCGGTTTATATTTTATATAGGACATTGTTATTATGTAAACAGAATTTTTTTTCTATTTTTAGCAACTGTTCTTATGAGTTAACTTTTGCAAACAGAGATTAATAACGAAGATAAACCCCCTGTTTATGGTTAAATATCTTTTCAATAGATTAAAGAAGTCAAATTTAATAAATTGTTTTTTTTTTACAAATATACTTGTTCTCTTTTTAGAATAAAACCCTAGATGATCTTTTGCACTTTTACAAGCAAAAACATGGAACTTTGCAATACTTTTGCTAAAATGAGATAGTTAATGTTGATATGACTCACTGTTAATGCACATTTTATACTATTACTATACTTATACCAAGTTTGGTTGTTTTCTTACATATGACTTACATTGATCAGTTTCAATATCTCAAAAGGTACGTTGAAAGGTAAAATAATTGGCCCTGCCAATATCTAAAATACAAATTAGAAATTAGAAATGTCATGTATATTTACCCAGTAACCACAATGAGGAATACGAATTTTTAGAGGCTGAATGGTTTCATTGGTTCTCATATCTACTGGATATACTACAATGCTCTTGGTTGTAGTATAACCCGTAGCACAGCCACGATGGCTGTGCCCGTAGCCGTCCATCTCATATTAGTATTCACTAAGTTATCAATAGGGCACCACCTCAAATTCTTAGTAAAACCAGTACCTACCGTTTTTTTATATATATAATTTTTTTTAGACCCAGCTTGATCAATGGGCTTTAAATTAATGTTCCAAAGCTTATCCTAGTTTGAAACAAAGCGTTGTGTATAGCTTCACTCACCCCATTCTACATCTTTGTTGTACTGAGCATAATTTTACCCAATTATGATCGGAGAAAACGTTTAGAATGATGTGAGATACCTTTTAGCGAATTTCCCATATAGGGAATAAGCTATTGTATCTTGTTGCGGACTATATACAGCTGTTTTAAGAAACAGCTGTTTATAGAAGAAATGGTCCTGACCTTAGCTAAAAAGCGAGCACTATAATCACTCAGCTACCTATCTAGCCTTAATTCATTACCAGTATATGCAATATTGTGTCCCTGCCTTGATGTCAAACTTCCGTTCTTGTACATCAAGTGAAATTGTATTGGCTCAAAAGGTACTGTCCGTTTGCGGACGGTAGTCACTGGCCGTGTATGTCTACCGTGTTATATGCTATTTTACTAAAAATTTATGACTAAATGACACTATACAAAATATGTGCCAGTGACGATCGATTCCTATCAGTGACATCGGCCATCCTAATCCTAATCTGACACTTGACTAGAATTGCTTTATTAATTCCCAACTGAGTTCATTTATATGTACCTGTATGTAAATTTGATCATGTATATGTTTTTCATGGGTATTTATGTTTTGTATATGTACAGCAAAATGAAAAATCACAGAAAAATATAGATACCGTCTTTTCTCATCATTCTGTGTAACAATGCAATTGTGGCATTTCTGATAAATTGTTTAACTACCCGTTGCAAATTAATGACGTTTAATTTACATGTAGTGTATATACATTTAACATTCTATTAAGAAATATTTTATTACATTACATTAAATTATTCTAAAGTATGTCCCAAAAAGAATGGACCAAAAGTAAACTGGCGTGAACACTTTACTAGTAATGATAACAAATTATCTTTATATATATATTTCTTTT